GGCTGGCCTCGAACTCACAGAGATCTGCCTGCCTCTGCCTCCCAAGTGCTGGGATTAAAGGCGTGCGCGTTTCATACAATGTGATGGCCATGGTGGCTCATACCTTTAATTCCAGCACTCCTCATGAGGCAGAGGCTCATGGATCTCTGAGACTGAGGCCAGTTTAATCTACATAGTGAGTTCCAGGCCAACAGTGTCTACAGGGAGACCCTGTCTCAAAAAAAAAAAAAAAGGAATTTCATACAATGTATTTTGGTCATATTTAGATTTAGACTCTTTCCCCCATGCCACCCTTTCCCCAACTTCAGAACTTCTCTAGTATTTTGCAGGGGAGGGGGACAGCCTAAGATTTTATTTTATTTTTTTAAATTTAGTGAAATTATTGTGTTTAATGAAAGTATGTCAGCTCAATTTTGTACCAGACTGAGAACCACTAAACATTTAGGCAATTGTGTTCTTTTAAGAAGCCCAAACCTTTTTTTTAATTAAAAAAATGTTAAGTATATTTTGTCATTGAATTTTTGTGTATTTCATATACAACATCTTAATCCTCTTCATATCCCCTTCCCCATCGGCACCTTCCCACACCCCCCTATCTTACTGGATTTCATTCATTCTGTCATTTATGTTAAGGCCTATCAAGTCAAGTTAGTGTTCCCAGACGTCCCTCAGTGCAAGTTCATCCACTGAAATCTAGTTAGCCTATCTAGTCACTCCCTTAAAGAAGATCACTTCTTCCTCACCCACCAGTAATCAGCTGCCCAATTAGTTCTTTGGCTAAGATTGGGGCCTGCTGCCCATTTTCACAGTTCTATGCTGGGCTTTTGTCTGCTTGAATTTGCATGGGTCTTGTACATGCTGTCAGCATTATTGTAAGTTCATTGTAAGACTCTTATTTCAATATGGTCATGCACCCCCCCAGCTCTTACAACCTTTCTGCCTCCTCTTATGGAAAGATCCCTAAGCCCTGGGTTTGTTGCCCTCAGTTGCATGAGGGAGCTTCGTTAATAAGAGTTGAGAGAGTCTTAGGTATAGAGGTTTCATTGTAGATGTGTCACTTAGGGTTGGGCATTTCACAGACACTTAATCTCTGTGTGTGACCAGTTGTGGAACTCTGTAATAGTCTCTGTCTGTTGTAAAAGAAGCTTCTTTGATGAGTGGTGACTGGCATACTTGTCTGTAAATATGAGGATCCATTATTTAGCACATAGTAAGAAATTATGGCTGAGTATGGTGGTGTCCGCCTTTAATCCCAGCACTCAGGAGGCAGAGGCAGGCAGATCTCTGTGAGTTCAAGGCCAGCCTGGTCTACATAGTAAGTTCCAGGCCATCTGGAGCTACAGTGTCTCAAAAGACCCCCCAAAAATTGTATTTGTCTAGGGATGTAACAGCCTTGGGTTTTTCCTCTAAGATCTGTGACCTCTCCAGGCATGTGTATTTGGCTATGTTTACAATTCCACACATGAGTTCCATCCCATTGAGTGAACTTTGGGTCCAGTTAGGTAGCTGTTGATTACCCCTAAGATGAAAGTGTCACTACTGCCCCAATAGTTTGCTGTGCCAGTTGTTCTTAGGCTTTAAAGCTGGGGTTGGACCTTGCATAGTGTTCTCCAAAACTATAAGGGAGTTGCCTTCCAGGTCAGTTCCAGCCCCATTTGCTCCAAGTCCTGTGTCTGAAGTATGTCTTGTCTTTGGTAATAGGGTCTTACCTTCAAGTTCTGGCAGGCAGTCAAGGGCGGTGGCAATAGCCTGTGTAATTTTGGGAGTCTCTTGGACTACTCTGGCCAAAATCTCCAAGGGAGGTTTCTAATGTCTGGCACTGTTTTAGCCTTCAGCTATCCAACTGAGTCATATAAAACCAGAGGGAATTATGTTAGTTCAAAAACCTACTGAAATATTACACATACAGTATCTCTAATATTTTTTAAAGCCAGTTGAGTCTAATTTGTATCCCCAAATGCTCTTGGATGCCATGCCCTAGATACCTGGTCACCTACCTGGTTATCACACCATTAATAAAAAACAAAACTGATTCTCTCTTTCCCAGAAGCTATCAATTGCCAATAGTTCCTCTGCTAGGATTGGAGCTTCTTGCCCACCTACCCCTCTGAGCTGGCATTTTGTGTGTCTTAATCTTACATAAAGGGTCTTGTGCATGCTATTAAAATTGCTGTGAATTCATATGTGTGTAATAACCCTGCTGTCTAGAAACACTGTTTCCTTGTATTCATCCATGACCACTGGCTCTTCCAATCTTTCCACTCCCTCTTTCACAATGATCCCTGAGCCTTGGGAGGAGAAAGCTTGATATAGGTGTTCCATTTAGGGCTGAGTACTCCAGTCTCTTATTATCTACACATTGATCAATTGTGGGTCTCTGTGTTAATCGTCATTTGCCGGAAGAAGAAGCTTCTCTGTTAAGAGGTGAGAGATGCATTAATCTATTGGTATAACAATAAATCATTAGGAGTCAGTTTAATACTGTGTCTATTTAGCAGAATAATAGTAGTAGGTTTTCCCCTATGGCCTATAATCTGTCTGGCCTTGTGAAGTGGGTCTTAAATCCAATGAGAAAGTGGTTGGTTATTCCCTAGACATTCATGACACTACTGTACCAGTGGGCATATTTTTCTAGGCCAGTTGTTATTTTAGCTCTCAGGGTTCACAGCTGGGTAAAGTTGATGATTACTTTTCTCTTCTGGTAGCATGCAATAGTGCCTTCCAGCACTCTGAAATTGTTCAATAGAGATGAACCTTTGAAGTCAGTACTAGCTTTATTTTTCCTTATTTATTCTGAGTCATATATGTAGTATCTTCATTAATAGGCTCTTATCATCATTTTCTGGTGGTTATCTAGAACAGTGGCAATAGCCAGTATTGTTTGAGGGTCTCTGGGACCCCCTTGTGGTCAACAATTTCAGAGGGAATCTATTCCTGGCATTGGGCTTTTTATTTGCTAGCCTGTGGTGTCTGGTAGGGGTATTATCCTCCTTTTATAGTGTAACTCCATTTGAACTCTTTTAAATTATGTATGTATATATTTTAAGAAGCTTCTATAATAGGTTTCTATATGACTTTTTCAAAAGGCATTTAGTGTTAGTTTTTCCTCCCAATACTTGAGAGGGTTTCTTGAAGGGGAGCTAAAGCAATTTATTTACCAAGGGACGGAATTGTTGAGGGTGTAACAGAAAAGTTGGGAGAGGAGGTAGACAACAGTGACTGATTGAGATAGAGAAAACACATAGCCTTATGTGATAAACATTCAGGAGTGATAACTGAAGGGACTTCCTTTCTTTTCTTTTTGAGACAGGGTCTTCCTATAAATCCAGCTGGCCTGGAATTTGCTGTGTAGACCAGGCTGGCCTTGATCTCACAGAGATATGCTTATCTTTGCCTCCTTGAGTACTGGGATTAAAGGAGATTAAAGGCATGTGCCTGGCCAGGGGCTTTCTGGTGCCCAAAGGTAGCAGGAATATAAGACCTAAAGCATGTATTTAACAGAAGTGAGTTAATGCCACAAGGTGTAGGGCATATAGATAAAAATTTAGGCCAGGTGTGATGACAAAGACCTATAATTCCAATACCCAGGAGGCTGAGAGAGGAGTTTGAGACCAGATTGGGCTACATAGTGAGACCCTATCTTCAAAAACAAAGAACAACAAAAAGCTTTAGGCAAGCAAGGGGTTAGATCTCAACTGGGTGAAAAATAATATTAAATGTCACTTATCAAGTACTCTGTTCCAGCCTCTATGTTGCTTATGCTATGAGCTTTATGTACATTATCTAATTGAGTCCATAAACCTCTATAAAGTTGATACTGATATACCAATTTCTTGATATGTTACAGATTTACAGACATAGGGTTATTATCGGGAAGTTAAGGGTAAGGAAGGGGCCTGATTTTAGGAAACTTATGATCATGATCTTGGTTGAAATAGTTTGAGCTCTACCATATTTTTATGCTCCCAGCTAGGTGTATCTCATGAAAGATTTTTAAAAATTGTTTAGCCTACACATTTTTTTAAAAGGCTGCTGTTACCTTCCTTGATGAGAGGGGTTTCATTTTGTTAAATTACCATCTCACACATGTACATTCAAAATCTTTTAAAGTTTAAAATATGAAATAAGCAACACATGGTCATTGTAGCAATTAGAAAACACAAAGCTGAAAAAAATGATTACCTATAATTCTTCACTCATAACTGTTATTAACTGTAAAATATTTCTAGTGATTTTTATTTAAGTATCTCAGTAAAGTTCAAATTTGGGTTCTAGGCTGAAAGTATTTTGGATGTATTAGGCAAAATGAAATGAAATGGTAGTGTACGCCTTTAATCCCAGTGCTCACAGATGCAGACAGATTTCCATGAGTTCGAGGTCAGCCTGCTCTGCATAGTGAATTCCATGACAGCCAGTGCTACATGAGACCCTGTCTTTATAAAAAACCCCAAACAACAACAATAAACAAAAATGTTTGTTGTTGTTTTGAGACTTGTTCTCCCTATATAGCCAAGGCTCATCTGATAATTGAAACTAGCCTCAAATACATGATAATCCCCCTGCCTCAGCCTCCAGAGTTCTGGAATTAAATGTGTGTACTACTGTATCTGGCTCTTCTTACTTTTTATATATGGCTATGTAGAACATTAAAATTACTTACTTGGTTCACATATTTTTCTCATTTGCATAATGTTGCTCTAGTTTCTTTTGTCTTTGGGCAGTCTGAGTTCTAATGAACCTTTAATGAAACTCAGTCATAATTGTTTTAGACCAGTAGAGTTTGGCATTAATAAAAATGTTCTATAATTTGCACACTATTGTAGCCACTAGCTTCGTGTGGTTAGTGAACACTTGAAATATAGCTAGTGTGATAGAGGAACTGCATTTAAATTTAAATTTTAATTATTGTAAATGTAAATAGCCACATCTATTATACAGCACCTTTCTAGAACTTTTAAAAAGTAATTTTATAACCTTTTGGCTACTTTTCTCTTTTCCAGTTGTGTTGGTGTTGAAGAGGAGAAGGCTGCTGATATTGACCTCTACCATTGTCCCAACTGTGAGGTCTTACATGGTCCCTCCATTAGTAAGTAGATTTTAGGGCTTCCATCAGTAAGTGGGACAGGGGAGAAACAAAGCACAGGTACCTTTGAAGGGCAATTGCCTTTCTTTAAGTGTTTCAGAGTTTGTCTTCCTTAGGAAATAGAAGGAGTCTATGCAGGTCTAGCAGGCCACAAGCTGTCCCACTGAGAGGAGAGATGTACATAGCTTTATCGCTCTGCCTTTTAGGGATTGGCTAGAGGAAGTACCCATCTTTATCACTAGCTTTCCTAAGTCTATGAGGGCCTCATTGATTCCAGATGCCTCAGGGGTTATTAGATAGAAAAGAAGAATCTATTGAGGCCTTTATTCTTGGAATCATAGTACGTGGCCATTCTGACTCATGACCTCATATCTTTTTCTGGCTTAGTGAAAAAACGCCGTGGATCTTCAAAAGGGCATGATAGCCACAAGGGGAAACCAGTGAAGACTGGGAGCCCTATGTTTATTCGAGAGCTCCGGGGTAGGACTTTTGACAGGTGAGGACCCTTTGTCTCAGAAAAATGTTAAGCATTAGGGTTCTGTGAATCTGAACTGATCCATCTCTTTTCAGCTTTTCCATTGGTTGTGCCATTGGGTGCCTCTCTCGTTTCTGGACATCTTCTGGAATAGGAAATTCTGTTTTGGTCAGTTTCTAAGAAACAGTGGCTAGAAATTCACTTTCTGTTTAAAGAACATTATAGTTCACTTAAAATATCTGCAATACTTGGGAAACAGCATTCATCTTAGGAGATGATATTTATGTGCATCTGAGGAATGCTAAACTGGAAGGGTGATTCTGTTTTCTTCCTTTTTTTAGTAGTATATATTAAGTATACAAAGTAATGGGCTTCATGATGATATGTTCATACATGTTATTTGATGTACTTTGATCATAGTTACCCATTCTATGACTTTTTTTTTATCCTTTCCCCCTTTCTCCTTCCATATTCCTAAAACTCACCCCTTTACTTCAATGTCTGGAAGAATTCTTAAGATGAACATTTAATTCATTATAGAAGAGAAGAAACTCTTAAAAAAACTGTCATGTGTTTCTTTTTCAGTCAAAAAGATTTTTCTTTTTTCATTAACCTGGCTTATTAAAAATAAATTAGTTAATTTGTGAATTGAACAAAAATAATGAATTTGAAATTAATGATTAAATGATTTTGTTTGGTTATTTTTTGTTCTGTTTTGTTTTTGGAGACAGAGTCTTCGGTAGCCCCAGATGGCCATACATACTTGCTATATAGACCAGGCTGGCCATGATTTCACAGAGGTTCCCCTGGCTCTGCCTCCTCAGTGGTGGGATTAAATGCATGTACCACCATGCCTGAATTTTGTGTGGTTTGTAATTTATTGTACTGTTTTTAGGTTTCCTGTAATTTATATGTTAACCAGATTGGATGTTTTTCCAATTTAATGAGTTTTTGTTGTTTTAAATTTTAAAGGCTGTAAGTCTCCTTTCTACCCAGATTCCTCAGCTCCCTTCTTTTACTATGGCAGTTAATTCCTTTTACATTCTTTCAAAAATGGTTTTGACATCCGTATGTATATGTTTGTGTGTCCTTTTTTCTTTTTGGTCCTTTTGATACAGGGTCTCCCTGTAGCCACAGTTGCCCTGGAACTCACTATGTAGACCGAATTGGCTTGCAGTTCACAGAGCTCTGCCTCCTGAGTTCTGGGATTAAAGTTGTGCACCACCACACCTGGTTTCCCTTTTCATTAAAAAAAAATAGTTTGCTTATTATTTTTATTTCATTTGTACAAGTATTTGTATATGAAGGTCAGAAGAGGGTGTTGGATCCCCTGGAACTGGAGTTATGGACTGTTGTTAGCCACCATGTGGGTGCTGGAGAGATGGCTCTTAACTGCTGAGCCATCTCTCCAGCCCCCTTTTTTCATTTTTTTGACAGATATGGAAATACTGTATTTTGTACATTATTTTTTGTTTTCAAACCTAAATTACATATCTTGGAGATCAGTCTACACTAGTATATACAGATTTTCTTACTCCTTTTCATGGTCATTTAGTATTTCATTGAATGGATATACATTTTATTTAATCAGTTCTCTGTTAATGGGCATTTAAGTTGATTCCAATGTTTTGTTACTATTAAGAGAAATACTTCAGTCAATACCTTCTTTTTTCAGTGCTGAGAATTGAACCTAGGGTCTCATGCATACTAGGCAAGCACTCTACCACTGAGCTATATTCCTAGCCCCAGTTTAACTTTTGCACATTTGAGAAGTATATGTGTAGACTTAATAATGTAAAAGTGAAATTGTTAGGTCAAGAAAGGATATGCCTTAAAAATATCTATAAATATTATCAGTTGTTTCCATAGTGGTTGTACCATTTTTCACATAGTTGGTCAGTGCTCTGATTTTTCTATATACTAGCCAGTAATTGTTTATTATCAATTTTTTTGTGTTCTGATTAGTGAAATTTTTTATTCTAACTTCTATTACTTTTTAAAAATTTATTATTTTTATTTTATGTGCGTGAGTGTATTGTCTGCATTTGTATAAGTGCACCTGTGTCATGCGATGCCCACGAAGGGAGAAGACATTGGATTCCCCTGGAACTGGAGTTATAGATGGTTATTAGCTGTCATCTGGGTACTGGGAATTGAACCCAGGTTCTCTGCAAGAGCAGCCAGTGTTCTTAACGGCTGAGCCATCTCTCCAACTTGCATTGCTTTAATTGCAAACTGATTTTTTGAGTACATTTATAAGTCATCTTTATTTCTTTCTCTGTTAACTATCTGCTTGTATTGACACTTTTTCAATTTTGTTACTCTTTCATAATGGTTTATAACAGCTTTTCTTTCAGAAACCATTTTAGTGATTACTAAGTCTTTTCTCTTCCATATTTTTTCTAGTACTCTTACAGTGTTACTTTTTGCTATTTAATCTTTGGGTCATTTAGAAATGTATAAAATAGTAGAACAGATATTAACTTTAATATGTTTGTTTTACTACAACTCATCTATTTTTTTCCATTTTCTTTTTTGGTGCTGGGGATTGGAATGATAGACTCAAGGGAAGCATATACTCTGCCACTAACCTATGCTTTCACCTAGTCTGTTATCTTTTCTGCAGTAGGACTTTAAAATGTCTCATTTTCTAAGTACATGTATTGAGAAAGTGGTTGTAAATATTATTTACGACCACTTAAACTTGGTCATAAAACTCAGTCTTTGCTGTCTCTTCACTAACATTTTTAATTGGATTCTGCTATTCTGGGTTAAAAAAAAATGAGTCAGACTTGTCAGATATATCTCTTCCTAGATAGGCCATTACTTTTTCCACCTCTGCCAGTGACCTTGCCTCCTGCTTTGGACAGGTCATTTCATCTCTGGAACATGAGGTTTATTCCATTAATTGTCAATCCATATAAGACTTCCCGAGGAAGACCCCATCCTTTGATTGAGAGGCCAGTAAGCAGATCCTTAGGTAACCTTGAGTAAGGCCTATAGTAAGCAGAACCTTAGGATTAGGATTTCTCTCCTGTGACCCACACAGCTCAGATGAAGTGATTCTGAAGCCCACTGGAAGTCAGCTGACCGTGGAATTCCTGGAAGAGAATAGCTTCAGTGTACCCATCCTTGTCATGAAGAAGGATGGGTTGGGGATGACTCTACCCTCGCCATCGTTTACTGTGAGAGATGTGGAACACTATGTGGGTAAGACACCACAGACCTTTTTTTGTTTTTTTTTTCAGACAGAGTCTCCCTCTAGCCCCAACTGGCTTGGAACTTGATATGTAGACCAGGCTGGCCTCAATCTCATAGTCACCTGCCTCTACCTCCCAAGCTCTGGGACTAAAGATGTGAGCCACCACACCCAGCACCACAAACTTCTTAACTGTGACATTACACATTCCTATAAAGACTTGTCACTTCTTCTCCAATCCACCTTTTTATATGTGCTTTCTAGCCATCTTGGGAATCTGATATGAAATGCCTTGCCTAGGGTTATTGTTTGGCAATGCTAGAGGCAAAATACTAAACTTCTCTCCCTTCTTAGGTTGTTTTTTTCATGTGTGTGTGATTAATGACAGTATTCTATTCATTCTCTTCTTTCTTCTTTTAATATATGACACAAAATTAGATTGAGCCTCAGTTTTTTTTTACCTGACCATTTTTTGAGATCATGACCTCTGTGTCCTCTGTTGAGATGGGGAAGTCTTTACCTCCTGCTCTCACATACTTCTTGTTATCAGTGCATGAGTTTGGGGAACAGAGGAAATGAGAAAGCACATCCCAGGCAGGTGGACTACGTGAAAGTTGTGTTAGGTAGTTCTAATAGGTCTAGCAAGACTGGACTCAGATATAGAGAGGGTGTGATAGATTCCTAGCCCCTTCCCTGAACACACATATACATACAGTGCCTGAGGATAGAGGTTCTGAGTATATGACCATTCTAGATACTGCTGAGGGAACAAGAGTCTTCTGTCCATGAGATCACTTGGTACAGAACTCATTTCTTTACTTCAGGTTCAGACAAAGAGATTGATGTGATTGACGTGGCCCGCCAGGCTGACTGCAAGATGAAGCTCGGTGATTTTGTGAAATACTATTACAGTGGGAAGAGGGAAAAAGTCCTCAATGTCATTAGTTTGGAATTCTCTGATACCAGGTAGGAGGGGAGAGTTAACAAAAAGGCCTGACAGAAGTGTCTAGAACTTGTGGTATACTTGAGTGTGTATTTTCGTTCCTTTCCTTCTTCTAGTGTTTTCCTCCTTTGGGATGGGGAGGTGGCTTATGCCTTCTAGGGTAGCCACTCCGCATTATAATAACTTAATCAGTTTTTTTCGCCAGTTTCTAAAGTCAGATAGATGGCACAGTATCTATTTTACTGTTAATTTTTCTCTTTCCACCCAAGGACATCCTTTTTGACCTTTTCCTACTATTTAGATTTTTGCTTGATAACTAACTGCAGGACAGATTCTTGTTCCCTGGAAATGGATTCACTAAAATTATCCATAAGTAGTTTCTCTAAGGGTACAATGCCTAGATTGAAAAAGAAAAGGTTATTATCTTTAAGCTATTCTATCTGGACTCATATTCAGAGCTATAGGGAATACCAAGAAATCATAACATACCATTTTGCTTTTAGGAAGCTTACTGTTTACTGATTATTGACATTTTAAACTTTAGAATAACTAATAAACAATTTAAGATTTGCAAGAAGTTGAAAAATCAAATGTGCAGGAAGTTTATGTGTACTTTTCAGACAATTTCCCACAATGGTAACATCTTACATAATTGTAATACAGTATTAAAACGCTTGTTGATTTCAAGATTAGACATTCTAAAGGTACTGGAAAAGTGTAGCTTGTCTATACTCATTTCATCCTGAAAGACTTTGAGGTAACTTACAGAGATGCAGAAAAGGGAAAAGAAGAGAAAATTGTTACAAAAAATAAATAAACATGGGGGAATGGGATGCATCTGGTTAGGTACTCTTCACATTAAATGCATATTTGATTGTCTGGATAATTTTTGGAGATGGACTTGCAGAATTCTCATTAAATTTTCTTTTTTAAAATTTTATTTATTTTTATTTTATGTGTATGAGTGTTATTCCTATATGTATGTAAGTGCACCCATGCTGTGCAGTGTCCATGGAGGTCAGAAGAGGGCATCAGTTCCCCTGGAACTAGAGTTACAGATGGTTGTTAGCTGCCATATGGCTGCTGGGATTCAAACCCAGGTCTTCTGTAAGAGTAGCCAGTGCTCTTAACTGCTGAGCCATCTCTTCAGCCCCAAATTTCCTGAATTTTCAAAACAGAGAGTGTAATGTAATAAGATTTGTGGTTTTATGTGGAATAAAAATAGCCAGATGTATGAAACTGAGCCCTTAGAGGTTTCTCTAATGGCTTTTCACAGAGAAGATACTGAGATAGAGACAGTACAATAACTTTTCTAAACTGTCAAGTGAGTACACTGAGGAAGGAGAATGGTGTACTCACCATTTAGTAGTAGAAGTGAACACTTTCTACTGGGGGGAAGGATTTGGAACTAGGATTTAGGACTTTGGAAGCTGAGTGGAATAAGGATACTGATCAGACTTATAAGAATAAGTGTTCAGGGACTGGAGCGATGGCTCAGCGGTTAAAAACACTGATTGTTCTTGCAGAAGACTCGGGTTCAAATCCCAGCACCCACATGGCAGCTAACAACTGTCTATAACTCCAGTTTCAGGGGATCCGATGGCCTCTTCTGTCCTCCACGGGCATTGCATGACACGGGCGCACTTACCTACATGCAGGCAATACAGTACACATAAAAATAAAAATAATAAATAAAATATTAAAAAAAAATAAAAAGGAGTAAGTGTTCAAACACCTTTGGATTCTGTGGAGATAACTGTTTTTGCCTTATCTGACCAAGGTATTTTATACAGGCTTCAACCTTCAATTCTCAGTTAACTTACATTTCCTTTCAACTCCTTCCTTACCAGGCTTTCAAACCTTGTGGAGACACCTAAGATTGTTCGCAAGCTATCATGGGTGGAGAACCTGTGGCCAGAGGAATGTGTCTTTGAGAGACCCAATGTACAGAAGTACTGTCTCATGAGTGTTCGGGACAGCTATACAGATTTTCACATTGATTTTGGTGGGACTTCAGTCTGGTATCATGTGCTCAAGGTAGGAATGAATATGACTTCTTGAGGTAGTAAGGTCTACCTGCTTCTTATATTCTATTTGGGTGACATTTTGATATAATTAATTCTCTCAAGGTTTCTTGGTTGGTAGATATATATACTGATGGTAGTCTGTCTCCATATTTTTTTGATATTATTTTTATTTTATGTGTATGAGTATTTTGCCTGCATGTATGTAAGTGCACCATGTGCATACAGTGCCTTGCAGAGGCCAGAAGAGGGTGTGATACCCCTTGGAATTGGAGTTATGGACACTTGTTTGGCCACCATGTGGGTGCTGGGAATTGAACCCAGGTCCTGTGGAGGAACAGTGAGTATTATTAACCACTGAGTCAATTCTCCAGCTCCCTGTCTCTATAGTTTTGATACTTAATCAAAAAAGTTTTAGAAGCTGGGCGTGGTGGTGCATGCCTTTACTCCCAGTGCTTGGGAGGCAGAGGCCATGAATTTGAGGTCAGCCTGAGCTACATGGTGCATTTCAGACCAAATGTGGCTACAGAATAGACACTATCTCAACAAACCAAAACAACAACAACAAAGCCGAGTAAAGGACTACAGATAGAGTGTTTCATGCATGAGAAGGTCCTGGATTGGATCATCACCACTCAAAAACGTTTTTTGAGGCCTAGAAATGTAACTCAGCAATGTTAATGCTGGGAACTGAACCCAAGTCCTCTGTAAGAGCAGTCAGTGCTCTTAACCGCTGAGCTATCTCTCCAGCTCCACATTTTTTTATTTATTGTTTTTATGTGTGTGAGTGTATTACCTGCATGTAGGTAAGTACACCCGTGTTGTGCAATGCCTGCGGAAGTCAGAAGAGGCTGTCGGATCCCCTGGGACTGGAGTTATGGACAGTTGTTAGCTGCTATGTGGGTGTTGGGATTTGAACCCGGATCTTCTGCAAGAGGAACCAGTGTTCTTAACTGATGAGCCATCTCTCCAGCCCCTGCATTTTGATTTTTAAATGATTGCATTTTCATGAAAGAGTTGCAAAAATAATGGGAAGATTTCCTATGTGCTCTTCATCCAGATTAAAAAATGTTACCATTTTGTTATATTATCTTTCTCCAAAGGAAACTGAATAAAGTAATTGTATTTTTTTTTCAGAGACATTTGAAAGTAGTTTCAGACAGTCTTATCTCTAATAATTATATAGTTCTTAAGGACGTAGGGTAGTCTCAATAATTATAGGACAGTTATCAAAATAAAAAAATTTTTATAAAAATACTGTTAATCTAGGAGATCTGGCAGTTTTTTCCAGTTGTACACTATATACATATATATATATATATTATTGTTGCTTTTTTATTTTTAAATTTATGATATATTGACTAAACCATCAAACTATCAGAGGTATCCTTGTACTAGTATATATTTCTTTTTTCACCATATTATCTATCAGATAATTATCTAGGCAAAACATAATTAGTAAATAAATGTTCTTCCAATAGATAATCATCTAACAGTATATAATCTTCTAAAAGGCCTTGGACAGTCACTGAACTTTTATTAACTTTGATTGCAAGTGTGAGAAGGAACACATTGTAAATGGAATTTTAGAGGCAGGTTCAATTTTTTTTTCTCATTAGTAATGTGTCCTTAAATTCTCCTAGGGCTAGTAGTATTGATCGAGTAGGGGGTCATTTTTCATTTGGAATTGCATCTAAAATAAGAGCACATGGTCGTAACTTGAACAGTTTTGATTTAAATGCCCCTTTCAAGTTGCTTTTGTAAAATTTGCAGAAACTTTGAGCAGTTGATATAGAAATGATTCTTGATGGGTTTGGGAAAGAACTCTGGCATATTGCTATGAATGAATTGAAGCATGGGAGAAAGAATTAGCTCATTGGAATACCCCTTCCTCCCAGAAGGACTTTCTTGAAACCTTTGGTATGGTATCTTTTTATTTCAGGGTGAGAAGATCTTCTATCTGATTCGCCCAACAAATGCTAATCTGACTCTCTTTGAGTGCTGGAGCAGCTCGTCTAATCAGAATGAGATGTTCTTTGGTGACCAGGTGGAGAAGTGCTACAAGTGTTCTGTGAAGCAAGGACAGACCCTTTTCATTCCTACAGGTCTTTCCTGGGCTCTTCTGGATGGGAGGATGGGGAAGGCAAAAAAGAAGGGTATAGCACTGTACCAACCCCTACCCATAAATTATTAATCTCATTATGTCTCTTTCATCAGCTGAAAGGTTAAGAACTAGATCTCAAGAAAATTTATGTGGTGGTTGGTGGGTAGGTTTCTTGTGGAGGCTGCAGATGGTAAGGAAAGGCTGGTGGACTTCTTTACACTGGGTTAATGTCAACTGTAGGGTGTACAGATAAGAGTATAGGATTCAGCCCCATGACTCTAGGTATTGTAACTAGGAAGCTTGCATTTTAGTCTGTAAATTAGAATGGCTTGGAATGGGACGTTCTTTCTAAAGAATTCATGTATTTTGCCAGGCAAGTGCTCTTCTACTGAACTCCATCCTGTGCTGAGTATGCACATTTTTAAATATTTTATTCTTTTTTTATATTTTTATGTATATGCGTATATTGCCTGCATGTAGGTAAGTGCACCTGTGTCGGAGTATGCACATTTTTTAAAAAATAGCCTAATTGGGACTGGAGAGAAGAAAGGCTTAGTGATTAAGAACACTTGCTACTCTTCTAGAGTGCTAGAGTTTGGTTCCCAGCACCCACATCAGGCAACTCACAGCTGCTTGTAACTCCAACTCCAGGGAATCTGACACCCTCTTCTGTCGTCCAGAGGCACCCATGTGTATATTCACATACTCTCACACACAGAAACACATAGACACACACACACACACACACACACACACACACACACACACACACACACACAAAAGAAAAAAGAAAAAAATTTTTTAAAAAAAATTTTAGCTTAGTTGTCTCAATCTATGGAGAGTTGCTATCTGGAAGTTTATTGAGCGCCTCATTAAAATGGTATCTCTGTCCATTTATTTAGATGTTCCTTAATTATTTAATCAGAATTGGCAATAAATTTTCTTGAAATGTATAGACTAATTTCTTCTTGAATGTGGCCATAGTTGTAGAGACTGAGACAGGAGGAATGTGTTTTCAAAGCTAGCTTAGTGAACATAGTGAAACCCTATTTCAAAAAAAAAACAAAAGGAATTCTCTAGTAAAGTCACATGGATCTGAAAATTTGGGGAGGGGGGATTTAATTTAATATTCAACTTCCTTGATCTTTTTTTCAGCCAGACTAACCTGGAATTCACTTTGTAAACAAGGCTAGCCTCAGTCTCAGAGATTCACCTGTCTCTGCCTCCTGATTGCTGAGATTAAAGCTCAGTGCCACCACTCCCAGGCCTCTTGGCATTCTTGATAGTGTCCCATGAAACACAAAAGTTATGAATTTAGGGCCGGGTGTAGTGGTACATGCCTGTAATCCCAGCACTTGGGAGGCAGAAGCAGGCAGGTCTTTGTGAGTTCAAGGCCAGCCTGATCTATATAGTGAGTTCCAGGACAGCTTGGGTTGTAGGGAGGCCCTGTCTCAAAAAGACCAAAAAAAAAGTTATGAACTTAGACCAATTTATCTTTTTAAAAAAAATTTATTGAGTTTTGTACATTTATCTTCTTTTTGTTTGCTCATGTTATTGGTGTCTAAACAACTATTGCCTAATTTAGTCATAAAGATTTATCTTATGTGTTCTAATGTTTCAGAGTTGATGTTTTTTAGACAATGTCTCATTCAGGCTTTGCTCATTCTTACTCTGTAGCCCCCAACTTGTGATTGTCATGCTTTAGCTTTTTGATTGCTGAGATTATAGGTATTTCTATAGGTATCAGGAATTTAAGGTTATGAAGATTTATACTTGTGCATTCTCCTAAATGTTTTATAGGGTTTTCCTTTTCCTTTTGAGACAATGTATTGCATAAGCTGTGCTCTGTCTTACTCTGTAGCCACAACTGGCCACAAACCTATTTCCTGCCTTAGCTTTCTGAGTATTGGGATTCTAGGTATGTGTCACTATCTCCAGTTTAGTATTAATTCTTATATTTAGATCTTTTATTAACTTTGTTTTGAGATAGGGTCTCACTATAATGTATTGGCTGGCCTGGATTTGACTATATAGACCAGGCTGGCCTCGAACTCACAGACATCTGCCTGCTTCTGTATCCTGAGTCCTGGTACTAAAGGTGTGCATCACCACACTTGGCTTCTTTTATTAATTTTGAGTTAGTTTTTATATGTAATTTGAGGTAAGGCCCAGTTTAATTCTTTTGCATGTTGACATCTAATTGTTCAGACTATCCTAAAAAACCATTCTTCATTGAATTATCTTGATACTTCTATCAAAAATCAGTTGATCAGAGGTTGAAGTTGTAGCACAGTGGTAGAATGCTTACCTAGTATGTGCAAGGCTTGTTCCCCAGTACCACAAAAATAACAAACAAAATCTAAGAAAAAGTCAGCTGATTATATATGGTCTTATTTTTGGACTTTGAATTCTGCTCCATTAACTTATATGTCTGTCTTATGGTAATACATAATGTTTCAACCATTGTACATTTGTTGTAAGTTTTGAAATTGAAAATTGTCAGTTCTCTTTTTTTAAGGCTAAATTGATTTGTTTGTTAGAACCCATTTATTATTTATTTATTTATTTATTTATTTATTATTTTTGTCTTTTTGAGACAGGGTCTCTCTGCAGCCCTAGCTTGCCTGGAACTCACTATGTAGACCAGGCTGGCCTTGATCTTACAGAGATCCACCTGCCTCTGCCTTCTGAGTGCTGAGATTAAAGGCATGTGCCACCATACCCAGCCTGAGAACCCCTTTAATTTACTTCCTTTTTTAAAAGATTATTTTTATTTTATGTGTATGAGTGTTTTGCCTGCATGTGTGTAAGTGCACACCTGTTGTGTAATGCCTGCAGATGACAGAAGAGGGGATCAGATCCCCTGGAACTGGAGTTATAGACAGATGTTAGCTGTCCTGTGTGTGCTGGGATTCGAACCCGGGTCTTCTGCAAGAACAGCCAGTGTTAACCACTGAGCCATCTCTCTAGCCCAAGCCCCTTTAATTGTCATATGAATTTTTAAGTTTAGAATTTGTGTGGGTTTTTAGTGGTTCTAGTTTTTTTTTTTTAATTTGCTATAGCTATTTTTGTGGTTGCTGTAGTAGACATTATATACATGTATATATATATTTAGCATATTATAGTTTATTAGTATTGATGTTTTGCCAGTTTGAGCAAAAGATTTGGTCACACCTAGAGCAAAGCTAGTGTAGAAAAACCTGTTTGGGAGCTGTTATAGTAGCCAAAATGAGAGATAAGAAGGGATATGAACCTTCTGGAGAGATGGATGGAGAAGGGAGGTGAATATGGAAGAGACTTATGAATAAAACATAAAGATATCAAAGGCAAGGGGAATAATTAAGTTCTAGCTGTGTGTTTTAGAAGGCGTAGTTATAGCCAGAGGATGCTATTCTTAGAAACAAAAGAGAGTGTAGGTGAAGCAACATAAAAGTTTTTTTTAAGTGGAGAGGAGGAAAGTAGAAGTTTATTTACTCTGTATCAGTTGAGTCTGTTCAGGGTCATAATGATAACAGACTAGGCCAGTTTGGATGTTGGGAATATTTTGAATCAGTAGTAGGTTATTTTTAAGGAGTTGAGGTTGAATTGACAAGGCAGTGAGAAGCCCAAAGGAAGAAAGGCCCTCTGCTAGCTATGATTTTGTCTTGTTATACTGCAGGATGGATCCATGCTGTGCTGACCCCTGTGGACTGCCTAGCCTTTGGAGGGAACTTCTTACACAGTCTTAACATTGAAATGCAGCTCAAGTGAGTCCTGAAATTGTCCATTCTTATATACTATAGTTCTTGGGTTCTTCCTTTGAATAAGGAGTGCAGCATAGTAGGAGATAAGTACAACCACAAAGGAATGGATCTTGGTTCTTGATGAAGTTCAGTTTGAGGGTTAACACCCTTTTCTCACTGGGTAGTCATGTGCCTTTGGGCAAGTCATATAACCTTTGAGCCCAAAGTTTCCTAGTATATAAAGTAGGGTTTTACAAAACCATTATAAGGATTAGATACAGTAAATACATACCACACAGAATAATGCCTGATATATAATGGTTGGTCAGTAAATGAATCCTTGTTATGGTTATTATGTCTCCTTTCAGGGCTTATGAGATTGAGAAGCGGCTGAGCACAGCTGACCTCTTCAAGTTTCCTAACTTTGAGACCATCTGTTGGTATGTGGGAAAGCACATCCTGGACATCTTTCGAGGTATAGTGCCCCTTACCAGCTGTCCCTTTTGCTAAGAGAGAAAGGAGGAAGGGAAAGAAGAGGATGGAGGGTGGAAACTAGAGAGAGGAGAATGAGGGGAGAAAGCTTGCTACTGCTGGTACATTTCTATGTATATCAAAACATTATTTTGTATACCTTGAAGAATGAAATTATATTTACAGAAAAATGGATAGAACTGGAGATCATTATGTTAAATGAAATAAGCCAGACTCAAGACAAATGTTTCATGTTTTCTCTCATATGCAGACTCTAGATTGAAGAGAGTGTGTGTGTGTGTGTGTGTGTGTAAGTAGAAGGGATCTGTGACTGGAGAGAAAGGGGTCTAACAGACGCATCCAACCTGTGATTCAAGAGCTACGTATAGCGCTATGTGGCCAAGGATAACTGTGAATGGGGACCAACACAAAATTATAAACTGACTTAAAATGTTATGAGATTTTTTTTAATGATTTTTTTTTTGTAACTCACTTGCATGGTTATCTAATGTGAACTTTGAAGATGACAACATTGTGTTGCAATGTCAGAAGGTTGGACACATTTGGAGGGGGAGGGGAGAACAAAAGGGTAATGGAATTAATGTAATATGAAAACAGAAGAAGGGACTCTTTGGGGTTAAGAAGGGGATAGAGGAAGGCAGTGGGGTGAGTGAATAAAAATGAAATATAATGATATATATGAATAAAAATGTCACAGTGAAATCCATTACTTTGTATTTTTATACTAACTAAAAACAAAGAGAAAATAAAATGATAATCACTACCTTAATGTCTCTCAAAGTGCTACCACTAGTATATTTTCACCCACTTTCTCCCCCTGCATCATCAATAACTTCTGGAAACTACAAATCTGTTTTCTGTCCCTATAATTTTGTCATTTGAAGAATATGATATAAATGGAATCATATAGCATCTTTTAGGATTTGCTTTTTATGAGTATCCTGGATGTGCCTCCCTCAGGGATAAGGCCCAGTCCTGACATCCTGGCATCATCGTGTTGATTCCTGGGTATCAGCCCAAGTGGAAGCCAACTTGCTGGTTTTCCTCTTTCTTGGTCTTGTCTGAAATAAAGTGAGTCCCTTGCTTGGGCCTGAGATTGATTCTTCAAGGTGACTTGGCCAGAAGGAATCAGTATCTCAGTTACAAAGGACCTCATAGCCCAGTGAGTACAGTCTCCCACCCAATACCTCAAGCCTTTACTCTGCCACATAGATTGTCATGTAAGTGTTCAAACATGGAATAACTAGTGGCTCATTTATCTATTCTGAACAGCTCAGTTCAGTAGAAAATTCTGTATAAAGCCTAAAATTGGCTGTTTATAATAGCTTCCCCATGACATAAGGCAGAACATGTCTGTATTAATGGCTTTTCAAATCAATTCTTCTGAGTGGTCTCATTTTGAGACCTAAAAGGTAAAGTAACATAATAGAAGGAACACAGGCCTCATATTCAAGTAGACATGACTATAGTTTATGCTTTTGTACTTCTTATGTATATGTCCTTGGTCAAGACTTCTTTCTGACCCTTAGTCTCCTGAACTATAAAATGAAGATAAGAATATCTTGCTTTAGAAGATGGGTGTAAGGATTAAATAATAGATGACAACTGCCTAGTGTGAATTAAGTTCTCAGTGAACACTATTAGAGTATCAGATTTGATGTTCTTAGAACCTTCAGCATTTTCTTTGGTTCTCTGACTAAGGTGAAATCCTTCACCTCTCTGCATGACTGCATTGACGCTCTTCTTTCTTCTTTTCTACTTTAGGTTTGCGAGAGAACAGGAGACACCCTGCCTCCTACCTGGTCCATGGTGGTAAAGCTCTGAATTTGGCCTTTAGAGCCTGGACAAGGAAAGAAGTAAATATGCTTATTTCTTTACCTCCTCAATAGTTTCGCCTTGCATTAGGACTAACTTTGGATAGATCTTTTGGGAGAGGCATAAGACGCCAGAGAGGCTTATAAGCTCCTGTGTTAGAGTGGAAGACTGGGCCAGGATTCCTTGGATTGTGCTTAAAAAATTTTAAAAATTTATTATTATTATTATTATTGTTATTATTATTTCGTCTTTTTGAGACAGGGTCTCCCTATAGCCCCAGCTGGCCTAGAACTTGCTATGTAGACCAGACTGGCTTCAATCTCACAGAGACTTGCCTGCCTCTGCCTCAGGTATATGCCACCACACCCAGCTATTTTATTATTTTTATGTGTGTGAGTGTTTTATACCTGCATGTGTCTAAATGCACTGTGTGCATGCAGTGCCTGAGGAGGCCAGAAGAGGGTGTAGGATCGCCTGGAACTGCAGTTAACAGACAGTTGTTAGCCACCATGTGGGTGCTGGGAACTTAGCCTGGGTCCTCTGGAAGAGTACCCAGTACTCTTAACCTCTGAGCCATCTCTCCAGCACTTTGGATTGTGTTTTAAACCTTTACTTCTGATTCAAAGAAATAATGCATACTTACTCTCGAGAATTAGGAACATACAGAAGGATGTAAAGACTGTCAGAGGAATATTCAGGTATATTTCCTTCTGGCCTTTGTCTGTTTTAAGACAGGGTCTCACTATGTAGCCCAGGTTGGCCTGGAACTTGCTATGTAAATCAGTCTGACCTTGAACTTACAGAGATCTGCCTGCCTCTGCCTTCTGAATGCTAGGATTAAAGGCATGCACCACCACATCTTGCCTTTTTGATCTTTTTTATGTGCATTTTTAACGGTGCTAGAGATCAGATGTAGGACTTTGCATATGCCTTGCAAATTATATCCTCAGACTCCATATGTGCATTTAGAAAAATTATTGGCATTGTGTTCTATATTCAATTTTGTATCTTACTAGATTGGCTTAATTTTTTTTAAATAAAAATTAAAATTTTTAATTAGAAAAAATTTTTTATGTGTGTGAGTGTATTTCCTGCATGTGTGTAAAGTGCACCAATATCGTGCAGTGCCCGCAGAGGTCCAAAGAAGGTGTTGCATCCCCTGGAACTGGAGCTATGGATAGTTGTTAGCCACCATGTGGGTACTGGGAATTGAACCTAGGTTGTCTGCAAGAGTGTAGTCAGTGCTCTTAATCACTGAGCATCTTTCCAACCCCAAATTGGCTTAATTTTCTTGTGTCACCAAATTCTTTATAAGCATTTAAATCCTACATGCTATTATTTTACAGGAATATGCTGTCTTCTCCTAGCTATTTGATTAGAGTTGCTTCTTTTCTATTTATTTCTTTATTTGGAGAGATATAGAGAATCATACAGTAAATATCTGTATGTATCAGTCTTTGTTCCTCATCTCCTGTTATTCCTTCAGGATAGATTCCTAGAAGATCAATTACTGGTTTAAAGCATATGAAAAAAAATGTAAGGCTCTTGATGCGTACTGCCAAAATGGTTTTTTAGCCTTGTACAAATACTCATCTATCTAACTGAATATAAAAAAGCCATAAAGGAGAAATAAGAAAGCTCTCTCTGTACTGATTAGGAAAAGTCTCTATAATTTGTCAAATAAAGATGCAGAACCATGTATATAAACTGCTGTGTGTGAAAAGGAAGGAAACAAGAATTATATTTGCCTGACAAGATAATCTGCAGGAGTTTAGAACCTAATAAAAAAGTAGTTAACTCTAGGGAGTGGGAAGCTGGAAATGCACCAGGGACAGGAGTAGTGAGGTTTTTCAACATGTCTTTTTAAATTGTCTGATCCCCTTCCCCCATTTTCTATTGAATTTTTATGCATTTCATACAATATATTTTGATCATAATTAGACCCTTTCTCATATCTGCACCCCCCTCTATACCCCTGTCCAATTTCATGTACTCTGTTTTAAATATACACACATATATTCAAATATATATATATAATACAAAATATAAAGGCCTATTGAGTCAAACCTGTGTCCCCAAATGCTCTTTGGTGTGGGTCCATTCACTGGAGTCTGGTTAACCTATCCAGCATCATACCTTTAAAGAAAAATGACTCTTCCTCTTGCAGCAACCTCCTGTTGCCAATAGTTCCTCAGCTAGGGCTGGGGCCTCTACACAACTCCCCACTTCCATGCTGGGATCCTGTCTGGCTTGAGTTTATGTGGGTTTTGTGTGTGCTGTCAACATTGCTGTGAGTTCATATGAGCAATTTCCCAGCTCTTTGGAAAACTGTTTCCTTGTGATCATCCACCACCTTTGGCCCTTACAGTCTTTCTGCCCTCCCCTTCTGCAATACTCCCTGAGCCTTGGGAGGCAGAGGTTTGATATAGGTATCATATTCAAGGATAAGCACTCTGCAGTCTCTTATTCTCTGCATGTTAGTTTTGGGTTTTTGTGTTAATTACCATCTGCTGCATGAGGAAGCTTATCTGGTGAGAGTTAAGAGATACATTAATTTATGGCTATAACAATAAGTCATTAGGAGTTAGCTTAATACTATACCTGTTGAGCAGACTAATAGTAGTAGGTTCTCCCTTATGGCCTGTGACCTATCGAGCCACAGGTTCCTAGACCTGATATCAATGTCAGGTATGAGCTCCATCTTGTGAAACGGGCCTTAAATTCAATCAGAATTTTAAGTGGCTGGTATTCCCATAGCATTCGTGCTACTATTGCACTAGTGGGCATATCGTGCCAGGCCAGTTGTTGTAGCTTGCAGGATTCACAGCTGGGAAAGGTTGATGGTTACTTTTCTTTTTTTGGTAGCATGCATAGCACCTTCTAGTACTGTGAAAGCTATCCAGTAGAGATGAGATTTTGAAGTCAGCACCAGCTTGATTTCTCCTTGCTTGTTCTATAACTCTTGTATGTAGTGTCTTCAACAGTTGGGTCTTACTGTCAAGTTCTGGTGGGTTACCAAGAGCAAGGGAAATGCCCAGTATTATTTGTGGGTCTATGGGACCCTTAGTCAACAGCTTCTAAAGAGAGAGTCCTTTCTTGGCATTGGGCCTTTTCTTTGCAAGTCTATGGTGTCTGGTAGGGGCAGTGTCCTCCTATAATAGGGTAACTCCTTTTACTCTTTCTTTATAATGTATATTTATATACTTTAGGAAGTTTCTATAGTAGTAGATTTTTATCTAACCTTTTCTAAAGACCATTAGTGTTATTTATCCCTCCCCATACTCCCTCCTCTGCCCTGCCCTCCCATTCCCCACCCCTTTAACCCTTTTTACTCCATTATTCCCCTTTCCCCCTTAATATCACTGTATTCTATCTCCCCTACCATGAAGTCTCCCCCCATAGCCGTTTGTGAATTGTTTTCTAGTTTCTTTACCTCTATTGATTTTCCAGTTGAAACATGCATCTCTAAGGATTCAGAGAGAACATGTGCTCTTTGTCTTTCTGGGTCCAAGTTATCTGCTCAGGATGGTTGTTTCCGGTTCCACAACATGTTTAGCCCTTAGGAAAATGTGAATTAAAACCACTTTGAGATTTCATCTGATACCAATCAGAATGGCTAAAATGCAAAAAACAAATACTGCTGAGGATATGAGGAAAGGGAACTCTTAGTCACTGCTGGTGGGAGTACAAACTGGTGCAAGCATTATGGAAATAGGTGTGGAGATTTCTCAAAAGGCCAGAAATAGATCTACCTCATGATCCAGCCATCCATGCTTGGGCATCTACCCAAAGGACTCTGTATTGTATTACAGAGATACCTGCTCATCCATGTTCATTCTGCTGTATTTGCAATAGCCAGGAAATGGAAGCAACCTAGATGTTCATCAGTTGATAATGATGCACTTACACAATGGAATATTATTTAGCTGTTAAAAATGAAATTATGAAAGTCTGATTTTTGAACCATGTAAATGTATTCTTTACCAGATGTTTAATTTTTTTGATTTATGTAAAAAAATTAACGTTTTAAAAAATATTTTATTTTAAAAAATTTTATGTGTATGAGTGTATTGCCTGCATGTATGTAAGTGCACCCATGTCATGCAGTGCCCATGGAGGTCAGAAGAGGGTATCAGATTCTCTGGAACTAGAGTTAGGAAGGTTGTTAACAACTATATGGGTGATGGAGGTCAGAAGAGGGCATCAGATTCTCTGGAACTAGAGTTAAGAAGATTGTTAGCAGCTATATGGGTGCTGGGAACCAAACCTGGGTCTTCTACAAGAGCAGCCAGTGCTCTTAATGGCTGAGCCATCTCTCCAGCTCCTTAAACATTTTTTTCTTTGATTTATTTATTTTCATTTTATGTGTATGAGTGTTTTGTCAGCATTTATCTATGTAAGTACACCCATGTGTGCATTACTCACAGAGGCCAGCAGAGGATGTTGGATCCCCTGGAACTGGATTTGCGGACTGTTGTTAGCCACCATGTGGGTGCTGGGAATTAAACCTGGGTCCTCTGCAAGAGGATCCAGTCCTCTTAAAACCACTCTACTATCTCTTTAGCTCCAAAATGTTAATAAAAAAAAAAACAACTTTAAGAAATCCAAAAATAGAATAAATATCAATATAGTCTCAAGTTTCAGATTCTCTATAGTCTTCTTTCCTCCATATAGTGACCTAAAGGGATCATTTCAGTCATTGTAGGCCTAACTGGTACAATCTCTTCATTTTCTGTTGCCAGCTTTCCCCTCAGTTAATTTCGAGCTTTGAAATGTTTTGGGCTTTTCCTTGTTTGTAGAGCTCACTTACACTTGGGCTTTAGCATGTGGTTCTGTTTTTCCATACTCTTCAGTGTGACTACCTTTAGTGTTACCTCTGATCCCTCCTGTGAAGTGAATTTTTCCTGGAACACCAAAAAGAAAGTGAGTGAGTATATCCTAAGTACTTATACCCTGAGTCAAGATGGACCAGGGACCAAGGAATAGCCCAAAGGGAGCCAGAGGAGACTAGGACACTTTTGAGGAGTCTGGGCTCATGGAAGAATTCTTCTATTGAAGTACAGATGACTTGCATGGGAAATACTTGCTCCCTTACCTTTCCATTGCCCCTACTAACATGGAAGGGAGGGAGCTTTAAAGCTATTCAACTGGGTCCCATGGGTTTCCCAGCACTCTATATAGACTTTAAAATAATTTCGAATAAATTAACAGTTAAATGAGGGAAAAATAATTGAACCATGAGAAAAAAGAAAGAAGTGCTAAGAAACTCTATTCATCCTCTGTCCTATGAATACAAAAGCAAAATTAAAAGTGGTATGAGAAGTCACAGTAAAAAGCTTGGTATCTACAGAAAAATCTAAGTATTAATACTCAAAAAGAATACAAACAAAAGATAGACTCCTAGAGGTATCTCTTTGGGTTGCTCTTGAGCTACGTTATTAGACTGTAGCTGCTGACACTGAGTTCTGTTTTCACAAGTTAGGTTGGCTTGTCCCAGCTGATCTCCCTAAGGATCTTGTCTTCATGAGGAGTTTGGCCTATGTACACACCTTAGTTCTTCACACTTCTTGTTATTGCCCTTTACCAGATGTATGTGGTTTTTTTCTTTGTTTCTTTTATATAGGTTTTCACTATGTAGCCCAGGGTTGTCTCAAATTTGCAATCCTCCTGTCTCAACTTTCCGAGCACTGGTATGAAACATCTGTGCCAGTGTGCTCATCCAGATATGGTTCATAAAAATTTTCCCTCAGTCTTTGGCTTATCTTAATGTAGCAGTGATTTTTCAAAGATGGGTTTTTGTCTTCCATAAGTCCATTTTATCCTTTTTTTCTTTTGCTGTTGATGCTATTTATGTCTTAAGAAATATTTGGGGGCTGGAGATATAGCTCAGTGGTTGAGAGTCCTGGCTGTTCTTACAGAGGACCAGGGTTTGGTTCCTGGAACCCAAATGGCAGCTAACAACTGGCCTCTGTAGATATTGCATGCATGGTCACATATACATGTAGGCAAAACACTCACAATAAGAGTAAATAAATAAAGGTATATTTTTCTAGTAAAAATTTTTTACTTGATTCTATAGGTTTTACAGTTTTAGGTTTTACATTTAGATCTATAATCCTTTGGTGGGGGGCTAGAAATGTGTGTGTGTGGCTAGAAATGTATTGAAGATTTTTGTTTTGTTTTTGCCTACGAATATCCGATATCCGGTTGGTCCACTATCAATTCTTGAATAGACTACTCTTTCTTCATTAATTGCCCTTGGCGTGTTTTGCGAAAAAAAAATAATCAGTTGTTTCCTGCTTCTTATTTGACAGGCTCTGCCAGACCATGAGGATGAGATCCCGGAGACAGTGCGGACTGTACAACTTATTAAGGATCTGGCTAGGGAGATTCGCCTGGTTGAAGTAAGAAGCACAGGAGGAGGGAAGGCATTTGGGAAGGGCTCGAGATTCAAGTGGCAAGTCAGGGTTTGGAGTTGGTATAAAGTTCAGGAAAGTATTGAGAAGACCCTTTCAAGGGCCCTATTTATTCATTTTGTTATTCATTCAAATTATTTGCTGTGAGTGCATGCCACATACTGGATTAGGTTCTTAGGATATACAGATGATATAATTTCTACCCACAAAGAACTCGCAGACTAAGTAGAACAAAATTAACCTTTTTGAGCCTCAGTTTCCTCATCTCTAAAATGAGAATAATGTTCCTTACATAGGGTTAATAGAAGGATTAGATAAAGTAATATGGATTGAACATTAAGTATAGTGTTTGACAGGTAATAGGTGACTCATAGTGGTGGTGGGAGGTGATGGTAGTTGTAGTTGTTGTTTTTAATATTTTGACTCAGTTTCTGAATTCTACAAAATGACAGCTCTCTCATGTTGAAGATGATTACAAAGGCATGTTTCAACAGGTGGCATATACCACGAGGCAGTAAGGTATAGTAGTAAGAAACTCAAGAGAAGCCTGGGTTCTGGTTCCTGCTCTTTCACTTAAAAACCTTTCAGAGCCTCAGTTTCCTCATCTGTAAAGTGAGGAATAACTTTACCAACTTCTCAGATCTTTGGTAGAATTGAAAGCTAATGTAGAGCCCCTCGCACAGTGCCTGGCAGAGTAAGTACTCAATAAATGTGAGTTGTTATAATTAATAGATTTTGTAGCAAAGAGAAAACTCAGTGTGGGCTGTTGAAGTAGCAGAGGCACCAGAGGAGAATTGGGCTTGATTATGTTTAAAGTGTCTTTTTAGCTTAGGATGTTATTTATTTCTGTCTATGTATGTATCTATTTATCTATGTATCTATGTATGTATCTATGTGTCTATCTTTCAATGTATCTATCTGTCTGCATATATATATATATATATATATATATATATATATATATATATATACACATACATATACACACACATATATCCATACTGCATGGTGGTGAACTTCTGGAAGTTGGACTTCTGGCCTCACTGCTTGCAGCATGTTTCACTGTCTACACCATAGCCTGCAGTATATACATCCTACCTCATTTTCTTCATTCTACCTATTAAAATCCTTCAGAGTCAATCTGAGGCCTATATCATTTCTACCTCCTCTTACTTAAGCCAGTCTTATACATACAGAACTTTGGGCTGGTTAGAAGTGAACTTATGAGATAAAACATACCTACTTCATTTGCTTTCAAACATTTTAAAACATTGGAGTCATTCTTATTCAAAGACCTTCTATAGAAGCCCAGTTTGTATAAACATTATTAAAGTACAACTGCTTTGAATAGGATGAAGGTCCCCTTGTTCCTCTCATCTGCCTTCCGCCTACCCAGGATTTCTCCCAGGAAGCTCAAAGAAACTACAGAACATCTTTGAAAACCATCTTTCTAGTCTTAACTTATAATTATACAGCTGAGCATATAAGCTGCAGTACAGCTCTTCTGAGGTTACAGAGATAATTAGCAAAATTAAGATTAGAATCTTTCTCCAGAAGTCCTGTAGTCCTTAGAGTTTGAACCACATTAAAAAGTACTTGATTATTTTCTATTTTGTGTCAGCTATTCTTGGAGTCTTTTCCCTCCAGTTTTGACCGTAGTACTGGGCTTTTTCTTTGCCCATCTTCTCCTTACTTGTCAATGGCTGGGTAAAGAAATGCCACCCAATAAATTGATGACTCACTGTACAAAAACCAGGGGTGTGCATATGTGGAGCACATGGCAGTACCACCAGTGCTGGGAACAGATCTCTGCTCTTAGCATAGAGAGAAGCCTTGAGTAAGCTCTAACTCCCTCATGTACTAATACTCTTATAGGACATCTTCCAACAGAACGTTGGGAAGACGAGCAATATCTTTGGGCTGCAGAGGATCTTCCCAGCTGGCTCCATCCCCTTAACCAGTCCAGCCCATCCCACTTCAGTATCCATGTCCAGGCTGTCACTGCCCTCCAAAAGTGGTTCAAAGAAGAAAGGCCTGAAGCCCAAGAATATCTTCAAGAAGGCAGAGCGAAAGGGCAAGGAGAGTTCAGCCTTGGGGCCTGCTGGCCAGTTGAGCTATAATATCATGGACCCATACAGTCATCAGGCACTGAAGACAGGCTCTTCCCAGAAAGCAAAGGTGGGTCCTGGCCCATGGGTTCAGCCCAACCCTTTTGGGTCCCTTGGAAGAGCAGGATTTCAAAAGGGCAGGCTATCCTGTTCTACTTCTATCTCTCTTAGGTCCCCTGGTGTTTGGCTACTAGTCCCACTCATTAACAGGCATTTATTGAGACCTTTTCTATGCTGGGCACTGTGATAGGTGCTGTGGATGGAACTCAAGAGGCTGATAGACTAGTAAGAAAGATAGACATAAAACCAAAAGAGTGAAATGAAGTGTGGATGCCACGATCAAGGGTACGTGTGTGATTCTGAGACACAGAAAGGGGTTGATTTATCTGAGTAGGGGCCAGGAGCTCTTTTTCAGATACTTGATGCTTCAGTTGAATCTTGACATACTGGGATGGGACTGAGATTGGAGAATGTTGTGTGTCAGATTAGAATCTCGAACAGGTCATTATCTCCTCTCCCAGGGCTCTAATTGTCTCAAGATTATGATGCCCTCTGTGGGTATCTAAAGATGATGCCCTCTTTGTAGGGAATATATTTCATAAGATAATATGTTTTTCCTAAGCAAGCTATATATTCTCAACCTCCTACTCCTATAATTGTTGAAGGTGGGGGTTGGGATAGGTATAGCAGAAGGTAGTTCAGAGAGTTTTAGCAGTTTTATCGTAAAACCAGAGAGAACCATCTTGATTTGTGTGGGAGTCTCAGACTGATGACAACTCAGCCTCCTCCTTCTACAGTTCAATATAACTGGTACCTGCTTGAATGACTCAGAGGATGATTCACCAGACATGGACCTTGATGGAAATGAGAACCCACTGGCCCTGTTGATGGCTAATGGCAGGTAAGATGGGGAAAAGGAGCAGTGGCAATATGTCATTAAAATATGGACCGTAGGGGTTGGGACAAGGGTGAGGGAAGAGCTATATTTAGGGTAATACCCAGATATTAATAGATACTTACTTTGATCAAAGAGTCATGGTGGACAGAGGGAGAAGTCTGGAATCTAATTGGCAACCCTGGGAAAGATCTTGTATAGGTTCTAGAACTTTGAGAATTGGTTCTTTCCTTCCACTGTGGGAAGGAAATTGAATTCCTGCCAGCCTTGCGTGGCTAGTGCTTTTACCTGCCATGCCTTCTTGCTGGCCCACAAACATAATTTTTTATATAGCTTTTGTAATCCAATGCTGCAGAATTTGGTTCCCGGAAATCTTTGTGTAAGTGTATAATGAGAAATGTTCAGTGGGTACCACATGATTATTTATAATTGTATGATTGTATGTAACTGGAAACATCCAAATGTTCATTAGCAGAGGTTAGATTAAATTATGGTATATCTTTAGAATGAAATATGCTGTAGCTATTAAAAGGAATGGGGCAGTTTAATATCTGTTAACACAGAAAGATACCCAAGATATATTCTTTGATTTTTTTAAATTAAAATATTATTTTTATTTTTTATGTGTTGTCTACATGTATGTAAGTGCACCTGTGTTGTGCAGTGCCCTTGGAGGTAATAAGAGGACATCAGATTCCCCTGGAACTGGAATTATAGATAGTTGTTAGCCACTATGTGGTGCTGGGAATCGAACCTGGGTCTTCTACAAGAGCAGCCAATGCTCTTAACTACTGAGCCATTTCTCCAGCTCTCTCTTCCTTTGAGATGGAGGTGTTACTATGTTGTTCAAGCTGGCTTTGAACTTCTGGTCTCAAGTAGTACTCCAGCCTTCAGCTGGCACTACAGGTTTATAATACTGTGTCTGGCTCCAAGATAGATTCTCTTTTGTGGTGCTAGGGGTTAGATTTAGTGCTTTGCATATGCTAAGCAGGCACTCTGCCACTGAGCTATATCCATAGCCTTTTTTTTTTTTTAAAAGACAGCTGTGTGCCTTAGGCTGGCCTTTAATTCACTGTGTAGCCAAGTTTGTTTTAAAATCATGATCCTTCTGCCTCAGTACCCTGATTGCTGGAATTACAGGCATGTGCCACCATTTCTGACTTTAAGATATATTTTTCAGTGAAACAAATTAGGTTATAAAATAATATGTAATTCCACTTTTATTTTTTAAAAGGCATGTATGCAGTTATGTATGTATATACATGTGTAGAAAAGCAATATAGAGACTTTATTTATATTTTTAATTTTTGGAAAATGCTTAAGATTCAGTTTACATGGTTTAAAATTCAAAATTGTGGGGATGGAGAAATAGCTCAGTGGTAAAGGCACTTGCCACTAATCCTGATATTCGATCACTGAAACCCACATGGTAGAAAGAGAGAACTGATTCCTGTAAGTTGTCTTCTGACCTCCATGTGTACACAGTGACATGTGTGTCCCCCCCCAAATAAATGAATAAATGTAAAAAAATCAAAAGTGTGAAAGAGCACACAGTGAAAATCCTATTCCCATCTCTCTTCATTTGTTCTTTTCTCCATGGACAATCAGTGTCAGTGTTTTCCTTTCAGAGATATTTAAAAATTTTTTTTCTAAATTTTAGAATATTTCTATTATTCCAAAGAGAGGATGTTTTAAAAATTTTATTACCGGGCCTGGAGAGATGGCTCAGCAGTTAAGAGCACTGACTGCTCTTGCAGAGGACCCGGGTTCAATTCCCAGCACCCACATCCAATCATCCTTAACTCCAGTTCCAAGGGGAATCTGACACCCTCTTCTGACCTCTGTGAATAAATAAAATATTTTAATAAAAAAGTTTATTACCTTTTTTGGTTAGTTTACAAATGATATATTTCATTATGACATTTTCATACATAGAAATAATAGTACTTGGCTTATATTTACTCTCCCCCATTACCCTTCTGTTTTTCTTGCCATTGCTTCCCTCCCTTACCCTAAACTGTCCCCTTTCTGCTTTTATGTCATATGTATGTGTGTGTATGTATATATAAATATATATGTAAATATGTATGCACATATGTATGTGTAAATATGCATATATGTCTATATATATAGTTAAATCTAGATTATATGAGAAAAATTAGGCAATATTTTGTCTTTCTTTTCCTCTTTGGTTTTCCTCTCCCCTTTCTTTACTTTCTTTCCAGAAATATTTATATGCATTTAAGCAAGTAAGTATAGTTATTACATATTTTATACTTGCTATACCAAATATTTGACAGTGGTTATCTCTGGAAAGTAGGATAAGGGGAGATGGGATAAAAACATATTCACTTACATGGCATTTGGATATTGTGCATTGAACATGTGCAGTTTTTAAAAATAATGTTGACGGTCTCACTCTGTCATTCATGCTAGCCTGATACTTGCTACGTAGCCCAAGCTGACCTTAAATTTGAGGTAATTCTCCTGCCTTACTTAGTGATGCTTATATTACAGATGAGTTCTACCACACGTGGCTTAAAATAATTTGTTAAGAACATTTTCCAAAAAGATAAAAGTTGTTTGTAATAAAATTGTGATCTTGATAATCAGTCAATCCCGAGTTTGAATCTCAACTCCGACATATATTTACTATGTGACATGGTAAATTAATCTCTGTGTACCTTAGTGTTGTCATTATATCCATTCTATAGATGAAAGTTAGGATTTGGGGGAATTAAATGAGAATATATTTAAAATTCTTATCACAAGACATAGCACATAGTAAATGCTTAATAAATGATAGCCCTTATACATCTGATGATGAAGATGGAAATAAAAGGTGATGATGATAATGTGGGTATGGCCAGAAGTTAAGTAGATCACTGGTAAACTCAGATGTATTTAGAGAATCAGAGGCAGGGAAAGGCAAGTCAGGGTTATCATCTGGACTTTCAGAACACTAGCCAGCAGAATTCAAGAATGAAGTACAGAGTATGGGCAATGTGGGGACACAGACAATAAAGATGCCTTAAATAGCCTTTTGTCTAAGAAAATTCTCTTTAGATCCTAAGGGAGAATGCAGTAGGTCCACCTGGCTGGAAAATAAGGGAAAATGGAGTGAGAGAAGGCCAGAGTCTGAAAGCAGCACAACTTTCTTGGGGTTTGAGAACCCAGTTGCTAAGGAATAAGATTGAACAGAAAATGCTCTTCTCTCTCTCTCTCCCTCTCTCTCTCTCTCTCTCTCCCTCTCCCCTTCTCTCCCTCTCCCCCTCTCTCCACCTCCCCCTCCTTCCCTGTCCCCCTGTGTATTTATAAATGTATGTATATATAACAATAACAATGAAAAGGACAAGAAATTGATAGGGAGTAGGGGGACATGGGAGGTGTTGGTTGGGAGACTGGGAGGAATGGAAATAATTCAAAGACAATACTCAAGTATGAAATTCTCAAGAAAAAAGATAGGAAAGAATGTTGAACACTGCCTTTTTTCAGAACTCCTGATAGGTTTGTTGGGGAGGAGGAGAAAAGTGAGAGTCCTAAAGAATCAATTTATGATTATTGAGGATATAGTATAATGAAATTTCTGTGCCTCTCCCCCTAGTTGTTTTCTTATGCCATTTCTGCTACCTGCTGCAGCTGTCAGAAGTATTAAGTGAACTGAGAGAGTCAAGGTATAGAAATATGAATGTCTGAGATTTTTTTCAAATTCAGTAAATTGCTGGAGTGAGGTATAGATGAAGCAAGATTGATTAGTTCCTAAAATTTCTGAAATTTATCTGGGTAATAGATAATGTGGGAGTTCATTATACATTTATATTTTTGTACAAGTTTTGTTTTTGTACATGTTTAAAACTTTCACAATTGAAAGTTAAAAGATAAGGATGAAAGCGGCTATCATTTATTGAGCATTTTCTATATATCAAACTATCTTGGCCAATTGCATGCATTATTTAGTCCTCACAACTGTCAAGGTAAGTACAGTTATCCCCACAATATACATGTGAAAACAAAGACCATGACAACTTAATTATACTTTTAGCCACCATTGGGCCTTTGCTATGTATTAGATTCTGTATTAACACATTTAATCCTCCAAACCCATGAACTAGAAAACAGGTCAATCTAATGAGATCCACTTCACTGAAAAACATTTAGGCAAGACAATTATTTGCTAAATATATGAATGTAGTGATTTAACAGAGGCGTGTTCCTTTTTAAGAGTTTGATACTGCTTCTCATGTGTAACAGGATTGTCTAAACTATTTTTGTGTATTCCATTCACTTTGCATAGGTATTTTTTTGATTGGCACATAATATTTTCTGCATATTTATGAAGTACAATGTGATATTGGGTAGTGATTAACTTAGTAATTTTTGTAGCTCAGTAATTTTTTGATGATTAATGCATTCTCTAATACTTTCAGGTACGTAAGGCATTTTTGTTAATTTTATTTATCACCCTATACCATAGAACATCAGAATTTATTCTTTTGATAAAATATTGACATTATACCTGTTGATTGATCTTCATCTTTTTTCTTTCCTCTTTATTCTTCCCAGTCTCTGGTAACCATTATTATGCTCTGAACTTCTATGAAATCAATGTTTTAGATTCCACTTATGAGTAAGATTTCTTGAGATATAATTTACATGCTATAAATTAACCTGCTCAAGTGTGTAATTAAATGAATTTTTGCAAATTTACAGAATTGTGCACCCATCATCACAGTCAAATTTTAGAGCATATCTTTTACTACAGAAAGGTTTTATGTCCATTTGCACTCTTATCTCAGGCTCAAGCTACCACTAATCTACATTTTGTCTGTATAGATTTGCTCTTTTTGGAAATTTCAGGTCTTTTGTTTCTGGCTTCTTTCACTTATGGTATAATATTTTTGAGATTCATTTATAATGCAGCAAAGAACCATTATTATTTGGTTCATTTTATTGTTTAATAGTACTCCATTTTCTAGATATACCACATTTTGTTTATTGATTCACTATTTCATAATTAGATTGCTTCTACCTTGGGAATGTTCTGAAAAATGATGCTCTGGACATTTGTATTCAATTTGTTTTTGTTTTTGCACATGTATGTGTATGTGATGTGAGTGCATGTGTGGATGCAGGTGCACATTTGTGCACATGTGCATGTATATGGAAGCTCGAAGTTGATGTTGGATGTCTTCCTCAATGGCTCTCCGCCTTAAATATTGAAGCAAGGTTTCTTGCTGAACCCAAGCTTTTCTTTTTGGTTAATCTGGCTACCCAGTTTACTTTGGGAATTCCCTCTCTCTGAGATTACAGAGATTACACTACACTCTTGAGATTACAGGCCAACTACCACATCCACCTGGTTTTCATTTGGGTTGTGGGGATCTGAACTCCCATCCTCATGCTTGGCAAGTGCTTTACCCATTGAGCCAGCTCCCCAGCCCCATGTTCCAAGGTTTTAAAAAATTTTTTACTATTTTTATTTTTGTGTATATGAGTGTATTACCTCAAGTATGTAAGTGTACCCATATTGTACAATGTTCACAGAGGTCAGAAGGTGGCATCAGATTCCCCTGGAACTGGAGTTATGGATGGTTGTTAGCTGCCATGTGGGTGCTGGGAACTGAACCCGGGTCCTCTGCAAGAGCTCCCAGTGCTCTTAACCACTGAGCCATCTCTCCACCCTTCCCACGTGTTCAAATTTTTATATGGACCTATGTTTTGGTTTCTCACCTAGGAGTAAAATTGTTGGGTCTATGTTTTTTAGCTTTTTAACAATTTTATGTATGTGTGTATGTATGTATGTATGTATGTATGTATGTATGTATATATGTATGTCTTTTTGAGGCAGGGTCTTCCTGTAACCCCAACTGGCCTGGAACTTGCTATGTAGACCAGACTGGCCTTGAACTCACAGAGATCCACATGCCTCTGCCTACTGAGTGCTGGGATTAAAGGTGCATGTCACCACACCTGGGTTATTTATTTATTCTTATGTGTGAGTGTTTTGCATGCACATATGTAAATGTGCTTGTGTTTGCAATGCCCACAGAGACCAGAAGAGGGTGTCAGATTCTCCTGGAACTGGAGCTATGGATGGTTGTTAGGCACCATGTGGGTGTGGGGAACTGAACCCTAATCCTCTGCAAGAGTAGCCAGTGTTCTTAGCTATTGATACTGTTTGAGTCTCCAGTACCTTTGAGCTTTATTCCCCCCCAAAATATTTTATTATTTTTATTTGTTTTATGTGTATGAGTGTATTGCCTGCATGTGTGTAAGTCCACCCATGTCATGAAATGCCCATGGAGGTCAGGACATCAGATCCTCTCGAACTGGAGTTAAAGACGATTTTTAGCTGCCATGTGGATGCTGGGAACTGAATCATGGTACTCTGCAAGAGCAGCCAATGCTCTTAACCACTGAGTCATTTCTCTGGTACCCCTGTTTGAATTTTTTAAGAAACTGCTAAACATTATCCAAAGTTTCTGTGTCATTTCACATTTTGACCAGCATAGGTTTTTTCATTGCTGACACTTGTGGGTATTTCATTGTGTGTTTTTATATGATTCATTTGGGACCTGGTTTGTTAAAATTAGCATGCACTCAAAAGAATCTAGACCCAGCTTCATTATTTACTAGTCATGTATGGTTTTTGTGTTGTTTCCCCCTTTTTAAAAAATTTTGAGATAAGAATCTCATTTAGCATGAGCTGGCTTTGATGAAGTTGCCATGTAGGGAATAGTGGCCTTGAACTCTTCATCCTCCTGCTTCTACCCCCCAAGTGTTGGGAGTACATGCTAGGCTCATTGTATTTTTAAATAATGAATAGTGATTTTTTTCCTTTGGTTGTTGGGGATGGAACCCAGTGCCTTGTAAGTACTAGGCAAGTGCTGTACCACTGTGCTACATCCCTAACCCCTAAATAGTATTTATGTGATTTTTAAAAATTTTATTTATAATTTTTATGAGTATGAGTATATTGCCTGCATGTAGGTAAGTGCACCTGTGTTGTGCAGTGCCCATGGAGGTCAGAAGAGGCTGTTGGATTCCCTGGGACTGGAGTTACGGATGGTTGTTAGTTGCCATGTGAGTGCTGGGATTCAAACCCGGGTCTTCTGCAAGAAAAACCAGTGTTCTTAACCCCTGAGACATCTCTCCAGCCCCCTTATGTGATGTTTTATAATGCATCTACATTGTGAAATGATTGCCATAGTTAAAAGAATTAACATATGTCCTTTATGCAATTAGAAAATTTCAACTATACAGTACAGTGTTACTGATTATAATTATCTTGTCTAAGATCTCTAGAACTTATTCATACTATATAGCTGCAACTTTGTACCTTTTAACCAATATCTCTCCCTTACCTTACCCTTCATAATCGCTATTGTACCCTTATATATGTATTTTGTTCTTTTCAGAGCCCATGTTAAAATCAGATCATTATTTTTCTGTGTATCTGGCTTGTTTCATTATGTTACAGCATAATGTCCTGTAGATTATCTTTGTTATTGCAGATAATAAAAGCGTAGCCCAGGTTAGCCTCAAATTTACTGTTCTGCTTCAGCCTCTGGAATACAGGGATTATAGGTATCCACCACTATACCTGCCTTACTTGGTGGGTTTGGTTTGGATTTACTGAGTGACTAATGACATGGAACATATTCTTTGTGTGTGATTGTGATCATTTGGAGAAATATCTATTTGGTTTTTCTGCTTGCTTTCAAATTGTCTTATTATTGACATCTAAGAATTATTGAAATACTTTGGGTATAAGCCTTTCCCTAATCTCTTTAAGTTCTTGACTCACTATGTATACCCTGACCTTTCGTTTTCTTAATGTATTTAAGAACAAATTTTTTTGGTCTTTTTGAGACAGGGTCTCCCCGTAGCCCCAGCTGTCATGGAACTCACTATGTGAACTAGGCTGGCCTTGAACTCACAGAGATCCGCCTGCCTCTGCCTCCCAAGTGCTGGGATTAAATGCGTGCACCACCACGCCCGACTAACAATTTTTTATTTTACTTTTCCTAATCCAAGGTCACAAAGATATTTTCCTATATGTTTTTTAGGCTTTGCTTTTATATTTACATCTGTGATATATTTTGAGTTAATTTCGTATATGAAGTGAGGGTAAAGGTCCTATTTGTTTGCATATATTAACCAGTTGAATAAGCATCAAGCATCCTTTTTTGAAAGAACTATCCTTTCCTGTATTGCTTATCCTATCCTTTACTGAATTGCCTTGACACCTTTGAAAAAAGTAATTTGATTGTAAATTTAATAGTTTACTCTGGATTGATAATCTGTTCTATTCATATATATATTCTTTTTAATTAATTTTTTGGTGAAAGGGTCTAACTATGTGACTCTGACGGGCCTGGAATTTTTTGTGTAAACCAGGCTAGCCTCAAACTCATAGAGATCTGCCTGCCTCTGCCTCCTGAGTACTGAGATTAAAGGTGTATACCACCATGTCCAGCATATACATCTATTCTTATTCCAGTATCATAGTACCTCAGTTACTGTATGTTTATCATAAGTTTTGAAATTGAGTAGTTTAAGTCTTTCAATGCTCTTTTTCAAATATGTCTATATTTTTGGCCCTTCTTTTGCATTTTAATTTTTGCCCCCCCCCAAACAGGGTAGATTTTGATGGAGATTACAATGAATAATTAATTTTGGGAGAATTGCCTTTACAATTTTGTTTCATTGAATTAGTATGATATTCATACAATATAGTTTGGTATTTAGATCCCCTCCTCTATCTGTACCTCCTCCCACTGCCCCGCCCAACATAATTACTCTGTTATATGTAATATGGTCTATAGAGGGCCTGGAGAGATGATGGCTCAGCAGTTAAGAACGCTAGTTGTTCTTGCAGAGGACCTGGGTTTGAATCCCAGCACCCACATGGCAGCTAACAACTGTCCGTCACTCCAGTCCCAGGGGATCCAACAGCCTTTTCTGACCTCCACGGGCATTGCAGGACACGGGTGCACTTACCTACATGCAGGCAATACACTCATACACATAAAAATTAAAAATAATAAATAAAATAAAATACGACCTATAGAGTCTGATTTGTGTCCCCCAAATGTTCTTCAGTGGTTTTGTTTGTGGGAGGTGTTGGTTGGTGGTGGTGGTAGGGATTGAGCCCAGAGATTTGCATATGCTAAGCATGCATACTGCCATTGAGCCACATCTCAGCACTGCCGTCTTCACATCACATATGACTTATTCACTGTTCTTGTTCTCATTTTTCTAGTACCAAGAGGGTAAAGAGCTTACCAAAGTCTCGGAGAACTAAAATTGCAAAGAAGGCAGACAGTGCAAGGCTGGTGGCAGAACAAGTCATGGGAGACAAATTTGACTTGGATTCAGATGATGAACTGCAGATTGATGAGAGACTGGGAAAGGAGAAGGCGAGCCTGATAATAAGACCAAGTGTGTGTCTGTTATTTTTATTTCCTGCCCTGCCATTTCATATTTATTTTAGGCTTGGGTTTGCTGACATTCTGGTTCATTAGGTTCAATAGAGCCTCATTATTTTTTTGCTTTAAAGATTTTTGTTTCACGTAATTCCTCATCTCTGTAAATAAATTATTGATAGTCATTATTTCTGAGGAAATTACATTCTTATTTTCTTTCCTCTGAGTGTTTGACTGAGATACATCATAATCTCAGTAGGTTATAAATTTATATTTCATTTATTCTAGAATTTCCTCGAAAGTTGCCCCGTGCGAAGCCTTGCTCTGACCCCAACCGAGTTCGTGAACCTGGAGAAGTCGAGTTTGACATTGAGGTAGGAGGAGCATGCCCTAGAATTGGTCTTGCAGAGAAAAGACAGATTTTCATTCTACTTGAGGAAAGGACAAAGATACTATGCATTTAATTTCTGAAATATTTACAAAGTGAAATATTATGTGTTGGGCTAGGGATATTATTCACTGGAGAGTACTTGCCTAGCATGTGCAAGGCACTGGACTAAGTTCCAAGTTCTGCAAAAAAGCAAATTGCATGCTAAGTTCTGACAAATATAAGATTATAATTTATTTAAAATATTTTAGAAGTCATGAAGAACAGAATAAAAGGCAGTATCATTTAGCAAAAAGAGTGTCTTTCTGGGGGCTGGAGAGATGGCTCAGCGGTTAAGAACACTGGATGTTCTTGCAGAAGACCCAGGTTCGATTCCTAGCACCCATATGGCAGCTAATAACTGTCCGTAACTCCAGTTCCAGGGGATCCGACAGCCTCTTCTGACCTCCGACGGCATTGTACAGCACGGATGCACTTACCTACATGCAGGCAATACATGCATACACATAAAATAAAAATAATAAAAAAGAGTTTCTGATTTGAAGTTTATGATGTATCCTTTCACAAATTATTTTACTTTACTGACCCCTAGATTTCTTATCTGTCAGATAGGAATTTTAATGCTTTACAAAGAGTCTATGAAGAATAAGATGGAAGGATGAATATTCTGATTAGTTCTGGGTCTACACTTTGTTATTAAAGAAGTTATACTGTCAACCTGTGTTAGGAATTTACCAGACCAGTCCTGTGCAACCAAGGCAATATGTTCTTTCCTTAACAGGAGGACTATACAACAGATGAAGACATGGTGGAAGGGGTTGATGGCAAGCTTGGGAATGGGAGTGGAGCTGGTGGAATTCTTGATTTACTTAAGGCCAGCAGGCAGGTTGGGGGACCTGACTATGCTGCCCTCACGTGAGTACAAGCCTGATATCCCTTTTCCAGGCCATCAAATCATATCACCCTCCTCCTGCCCAAGTGGTTAGGCCAGCCAGTTAACTGTTTATTGATTATTTTTATTTGTTTTGTTTTGTTTTGTTTTGAGATAGGGTAGGGGTCTTATTACATTTCCCAGGCTGACCTGGAACTCCCAGTCATCCTACCTTGTCTCCAAGTGAGTGCTACTATTACAGACATATACCATAATGCCCATCTTACTGAACCATGTAATCAGACAAAGAATTATCAAGGACATTTATACTGAAAGAATAAAATGGACATGAAAACTGTCCAAGAATCTTCAGATCTGTCAGTGACAGGATATATAGACTTCAAGAGAAATCAATTTTGGGTGCATTGGAAATGAGACAGGGAGAATCATAGAAAAACTTAATAAAAGGAAATAATGCTGGCTGGAGAGATGACTCAGCAGTTAAAAGCACTGGCAGCTCTTGCAGAGGACCTGGGTTTGATTCCCAGCACTCACATGGTGGCTAACCACTGTCTATAACTCCCGTTCCAAGGGATCCGACATCCTCTTCTCACTTCTGCAGGCATTGCACAACATGGGTGCACCTACATACATGCAGACAGTACACTCATACACATAAAAAATTTTTGAAAAGAAACAATGTAGCATGGGTGAATAAGAAGAAGGATTTCCCCCTCTCCCCGTGCTTGTCTGCGGAGAGACTTGAGGCAAAGGGGGTTTTTCATGAAAACAATCTTTTGATATTATCTTCATGCTTTAACCTGATTCCTTCTCTCTCTCTCTCTCTGTCTCTCTGTCTCTGTCTCTCTCTGTCTCTGTCTCTCTCTCTGTCTCTCTCTCTCTCTCTCTCCTCTCTCCTCTCTCCTCTCTCCTCTCTCGCTCTCTGGCTCTCTCTCGTTCTCTCTGTCTCTGTGTGTTTAACCATGGATGATTCTCTACTTTGTACCACCTTGTTCCCCATAGCTGTTCTTCATCCCTCAGTGTTGTAACAATTGGTTTCTTCTGACAAGTAGAAAAACTTCCTCAGTATTTCTCCTCTGTCCCTTACAGTGAAGCCCCAGCCTCCCCCAGCACTCAGGAGGCCATCCAGGGCATGCTATGTATGGCCAACCTGCAGTCCTCATCATCTTCAACAGCTACCTCCAGCCTGCAGACTTGGTGGACCGGGGGGCAGGATCGAAGCAGTGGGAGCTCCAGTAGTGGGCTGGGCACAGTGTCTAGCAGTCCTGTTTCCCAGCGCACCCCAGGGAAACGGCCCATCAAGCGGCCAGCATACTGGAGAACGGAGAGCGAGGAGGAGGAGGAGAATGCCAGTCTGGATGAGCAGGACAGCTTGGGAGCATGCTTCAAGGACGCTGAGTATAGTAAGGGCATCTTAGCATATGGGGATAGATCAAAAGGGTTCCTTTTATCCAAATTTCAGTCGTAATCCTAAGAGACAACAGCCTGTATTGAACACAGGCCTGACTTTAAGCTAGACAGTTATTTTCTCTGAGCCATATTTTCTTGTTAAAATGAGGATATCTCATAGGCTGTTGTGAGAATTAGAGATTGTGTTTACACAGAACACCTGACTCAGTGTCTTACTAATGGGATGTTCTCCAATGTGATGGCTCTCTTATAATTAGCTGTTTTTAGTACTGTTTATCTTTTACTCTAGCAAACTATTTTTCCATCTTGCTTAGTTGATTGTCCCTATCTGTATTGTTTATGTTTTGTGTTAGCCAGTTTATCTCTTGCAGTGAACTGGTATATATAGTCAGTCCTCCATATTTGACATTCTACATCCATGGATTGAACCATGGATCAAAAATATGTGGAAAAAAGTCTGTGCTAAATACAGATTGTGTCCTTCTTATTTTGCCCTAACTCGTGTAGTATAACAACTATTTGCATAGCATTTACATTATATTAGCTATTACAAGTCACCTGGAAATTATTCAAAGTGTACAAGATGATGGACATAGGTTATAGGCAAATAATATACCATTTTATATAAGGAAAAGGGGCATCCATCATGGGCTTTGGTTGGTGGGAGAAGACATCTTGGAATCAGTTTCCTTTAAGTATTGACAGACAACTGAAATGACCTTCAGTTAACATTGTATGTTTAAGAAACGAGTCCTAATAAATGATGAGTCTTTTGAAGGAGGATTTATTGAGTACAGTAGTGAATAAAGGACTATATGCCTAATATAACTATAATGTGAGGCTTTAAAAATATTTTGAAATCATATAAATATGGTTAATTTTCATTGACTCAGACTAAAAGAAACCAGTGAAAGCAAAAATTCTTTATGCCTAACATTCTTTCCCTCTTAGCCCAGAATCTTTTTGTTATATTCATTTGATTTATATGTAGACATATGTAGATAGAGGTATAGTTTTATTAATGTGTGTGGCTCTACAGCTTTCTTGGGTATCTGTCAGCATGAGTATACAGAGGTCTGCTTCATCATATATAGATGTCTGCTTGCTGCAAAATATTCTATAGAATCATATGTTTAACCATTTCCCTATTTGATTGACATTTAGGTTGTTCTTAAGTTTTCTTTCTACAATGAAAATCCTCATAATAATCTTGAATGTCCATTTGCCAGTTAGTATCTCTCTAGAATAGATAGACTTGCTAGTTATGTATGAGGTTATGTATGAGGTAAATATTAATAGTGCCAAACACTGCTCCAAAAGAATCAGTAAGTATATGGTTAGTATGTGAGAAATGCGTGTTTCCATATATTCTTACCTAAGCAGTTGATTTTATCAACTTTCTAAATTCATAGCTAAAGGTGGCATTTCTGTTTCCTTATTTTATATATTTGTTCACTGTTCATTTTCTGTAAACTGTCTCTTCATTCTTTCATCTATTTTTTTCTATTCAGTTTTTTTCTTACTGATTTGTAGAAGTTCTTTTTTATTGTTTTATTGGTTTTGTTTTTTTTGTGGTTCTAGGCAAGCACTCTGCCCCGGAACTATATCCCCAGTCCTTGTAGGAATTCTTATTCTGTTGTTGGAGGTACTTTTCATATATTTTAATTTGTTAGTTTTTTTCTTTTTTGTTAGAGAGGAGCACTGTGTATTTTTTCTCATGTTTGATCAGGTTTCCTATAGTTGACCTCCACTAGGCAGAAGAAGGAAGAGTAGGAGCAAGAAATGGAGAAACTCTTCCTAGTCTTTACCACTGCAGTTTCAGCCTACTGGATGTCTCCTTTGCCTTGTTTTTTCTGGTCCACCTATTTCTCTGCATCATAGTTTTACAGTCAACTGACTTTTTAAAAAATATTTTATTTATTATTATTTTAAATTATTTATTTATTTATTTATTTAAATTTTATGTGTATGAGTATATTGCCTGCATGTGTGTGACTGCACCTGTGTCGTGCAATGCCGCAGAGGTCAGAAGAGGGCTTCGGATTCCCCTGGAACTGGATTAAGGACGGTTTATAGCCACCATGTTGGATGCTGGGAATCGAACCCAGGTCCTCTGCAAGAGCAGCCAGTGCTCTTAACTGCTGAGCCATTTCTCCAGCCTCTTATTTATTATTTTTATTTTATGTGTATGAGTGTATTGCCTGCATGTATGTGAGTGCACCTGTGTTGTGCAATGTCACAGAGGTCAGAAGAGGGCTTCAGATTCCCCTGGAACTACAGTTAAGGACGGTTTGTAGCTGCCATGTGGGTGATGGGAATTGAACCTGGGTCCTTTGCAAGAGCAGTCAGTGCTCCTAACTCCTGAGCCAACTCTCCAGCCCCTCAACTGACTTTTTTTGAGACAGATTTCATTAAGTAACCCAAGGTAGCTTCAAGTTTGTGATCCTCCTGTCTCAGCCTCCTGAGTGCTGGGCTTATAGGTGCATGGCACCAGGGCCTGCTTTTTTTTTTTTTCTTAGCTGTTAAAATTTGAAAAAATGTAGCTGGGAATAGTGGCAACCTGTTATCACAGGAGATGGAAGCAGAGGGTGGAGAGTTTAAGGCTAGGTTCTGTCACATCAAGGCCAGCCTCACCTACAGAGAGTGAGTTTGAGATCAGCCTTGAGTATGTGAGACCCTACCTCCTAATTTTTTTTGTAATCTAGATACAAGTCCCTTGTGAAAGTTTGATTTATGATTTCTTTCATTCTCTCAACTCTTTCATAATCAAAACTGTTGTTTTGTTTTATAAAATGCTCAGTTTGTAATTTTATCTTTTTCTACTGAATTCTGTCTGAACCTTTTTAAAAATTACATTTGTTAATTCATTTTGTGAGTGTGTGGATATGTGGGGGCAGGATGCATGCCACTGCATGTGTGTGGAGGTCAAAGGACAGCTTTTGGAAGTCTCTTCTCTCCCTGACCATGTAGGTCCTGGGAATTGAACTCCAGTCATCAGACTTGGCAGCAAGTGCCTTTACTAATTACTTCACACCTTATAATTTGAGACAGGGTCTCTCACTGAACCTGTAGCTTACCAATTTGGATAGACTAGATTGGCCAGCAAGCCCCAAGGATCTTCCTATCTCTACCTCCGCAGTGCTGAGATTACAGACATATTCCACCGAACCTGGCTTTTATGTGGGGCTGGGGATTATACTCAGGTCCTCATGCTTGCACAGCAGGCACTTTACAACTGAGCCATTTCTCCAGCCTTCTGGACCCCAGATTTATAAATATAAGGTTCTGAACTCATAAGGACCATGTATGGTATAGATGATCTAGAATTAGGGATAGTTTTATTCCTTTATTTCTAATCTATACTACTTTTGTTTTTCCTGCTTTTTTGTTTTTGGCTAGGAATTCAACCTCAGTGTAGTGAGAATAGACATCCTTGTCTTGTTTATAGTATGTGGGGAAAAAGCATTTAGTCTTTTCATCATTTAGTATTATATTAGCTGTGAGTTTTCAGGTTAAAGAAATTGATGATTATCCCCATTTTCCTGATTTTCTGAATTATGAATGAATGTTGTATTTCTCCAGTATTTTTGTTTAATCAATGGATACTGTTGTGTGATTTTTCTTATTATGTTAAATGGTAAATTATAGTGCTTGATTTTGAAATATTGAACCACCTTTGAATTTACAGTATAAATCCCACTTGATCATGGTGTATTATTATTTTTATATATTGCCAGATTGAATCTGCTAGTATTTTTCTGAGGAGTTTTATGTCTATGTTCATAAGGGAGATGGATCTTTTTTCTTTTCTTTTCTTGTACTCTTTTGTTTGTTCGTTTGTTTGTTTGTTTGTTTTGGTGGCCTCAAAGAATGAGTTAAATGTTTCCTCCACTTTAGTGTTCTACAACAGATTGTATAGAATTGGTGTATTGTTTTTAAATTTTTAGTAGAATTCTTAGTGAAACTATCTTCACTAGGAAATTTCTTTATCAAGATTGAACTATTATTATTTTTATATTATTTTATACGTATGGGTGTATTGCCTGCATGTATGTAAGTGCACCCATTTTGTGCAGTGTCCACAGAGGTCAGAAGAGGGAGTCGGATCCCCTGGAACTGGAGTTAATGGATGGTTGTTAGCCCCCATGTGGGTGCTGGAAATTGAACCTCAGTCCTCTACAAGAGCAGCCAGTGCTCTTAACTGCTAAGCCATCTCTCCAGCCCTGAACTATTATTTTTGTGTGACTCAGTATGTTACTGGGAATTAATTGTTGGACTATGGGCCTTTTTTTTTTTTTTTTTTTTTTTTGAGACAGGTCTCCCAGTGACCCCAGCTGGCCTAAAACTCCCTATGTAGATCAGGCTGGAGATCTGCCTGCCTCTGCCTCCCGATTGCTGGGATTAAAGTTGTGCACTGCCACACCTGGTTTTTAAATTTTTTTATATTAGTGATTTATTTTTATTTTTATTTTATGTGTAGGAGTGTATTGCTTGCATGTAGGAAGGGGTACCCATGTTGTGCAGTGCCGGCAGAAGTCAGAAGAGGGTGTCTGATCTCCTGGAACTGGAGTTATGGACAGTTGTAAGCCGCCATGTCACTTCTGGGAATCAAACCCAGGTCCTCTGCAAGAGCAGCTAGTGCTCTTAACTGCTGAGCCATCTCTCCAGCCCTCATATTAATGATTTTTGTATTCTCCTTTATTGTCATTTTTTATAGCATTCCGTTAATTTTTTGGTAATGCTGGGGATTCAATTAATGTTTTCATAGTTTTTGATTCATTTTTTCTCTTTATGAATTTAATTAATTTCTGCTCCTACTTACTATTTTCATCCTTCTGGTTATATTTATTTTGCTCTTTGTAGTTTCAAAGGTCAAAGTTTTGAATATTGATTTCAAATCTTCACATTTTCAAATTTTTCTCTATTGAGTGATTGTTTCATTAATTGTGTGTGTGTGTGTGTGAGAGAGAGAGAGAGAGAGAGAGAGAGAAGG